AAAACTAAGGCAAGAAATTAGATTTAATGTAATGTTATTAATTTTTAATTGTTATTGTTATTATTTATTACTTTACTTATTTATTGGTAATGTTAGTCATCCTAAACCAAAAGCCTAAAATGAGCATGTATATTTACAAGGGTTAATTGCATAAAAAATCACCACCTTTTGTTTAATTGCAAATAAAACTCAACCTTTTCAATTTGGCAAAAAAATACTTAACTTTTATTAAGTGTTACAATTTTGTCTCGTCCGCCGGACCGCCGCCGCCAACCACCACCCGTCGCCGTCAACTTCGCCGGATATTAAAAATTTTTATATGATCTTGTAGCTCTCTTCCGTGCCGACAATATATCCGTGTTTCACGAAAAAATTTCGACGATAAGACGTCCAATTTTTCGGTCAAAGGTTATGATCTAAATTTTTTACTACCTTTGACAGAAAAATTGGACGTCTTGTCGTCGAAATTTTTTCGTGAAAGTCGGTTATGTTGTTGGCACGGAGGAGAGCTACAAGATCATATAAAAATTTTTAACATCCGGCAAAGTTGGCGGCGGCGGATGGCGGTTGGCGGCGGTGGTCCGACGGACGAGACAAAATTGCAACACTTAATAAAAGTTAGATATTTTTTTGCCAAACTGAAAATGTTGAGTTTTATTTGCAATTAAACAAAAGGTGGTGGTTTTTTATGCAATTAACCCTATTTACAATACAAACATGTCAACATATTTCATATTTTTTAAAAAAAAAAAAACTATATTCGGTGCGGTTCGGTTAAAACCGCATCATTCGGACAAAAACCGAACCGCACCGAAACTTGTGCGGTTTTCCAAAAGTTTAACCGCACCGAAAACCGAAACTTAAAAAACCGAACCGAACCGCACCGAATACATCAATTTGGTTCGGTTTTTCGGTTTCGGCTCGGTTTTGCTCACCCATAACCGTAGCGTCTTCCATTATATATATCGAATAGGTCACTTCATAAACACAACTGTTTGACAAATTATACCATTTTTTGATTGACCTTTTATTTTTATTGAACTTGGATAGTGGATGAGTAACATAAACAGCCTATTACCCTTAAGTGATCATAAGATGGAACACTTTTAAAAAGGATCTCATATGGAGATTTATTTTGTAAAAGAGGTGTAGGGATTCTGTTGATGATATGAGCAGCTGCAAGAATACAATCAATCCAAAAATGAAGTGGTAGATGTGCATGAAATAATAATGCTCTTGCTACTTGAAGAAGATGTTGATGCTTTCTTTCAACTCTTGCATTTTGTTGTGGGGTTTCAACACAACTTGTTTGATGAATGATTCCAGTAGTTTGAAAAAAATCTTTTAAGAAAAATTCAGTGCCATTATCAGACCTTAGAAATTTTATCTTCTTGTCAAATTGAGTTGAAATCATGTTATGAAAATGATGTAAATGCAACTGAGTGTCAGATTTAGCAAGTAGGGGGTAAATCCATGTAGTTCTGCTGAAATCATCAACTATTGTCAGAAAAAATTTGTAACCAGCATAAGAAGGGATAGAAAAGGGTCCCCAAACATCACAATGTATTAATTCAAAAATATCAGTAGCAATAGAAACACTTGGTGTAAAAGGCAATTTCTTTTGCCTTGAAAAATGACAAATATCACAAGGAGAGATATCAGCTTTACAGTTTTTGAGAGACAGAGGTAATTGCTCAAGTCTATGAAAGGATAAGTGTCCCAGTCTGGAATGCCATACATCAGATGAAGTGGAAACATGAGAAACAATTACATCAGAAGAAAGATTGGATTGTTTTATGGAGTTATGCCTAGATGGATGTACATGAAAATTGGTGGTATGTATAGATGGTGCATGATTAAAATGATACAGTCCATCTTTAGGTTCAGCAAAACCAATCATCTTTTGGGATTTGAGATCCTGCATGATGCATGTTGTAGACAGGAATTTCACTTGACAATTATTAGATGCAGTCAGTTTAGAGATAGAGATAAGATTGAACTTAAACTGAGGAACATATAATGCATCATATAGAGTGAGATCAGGGGATAAGTGAACTTGTCCTGTATAACATGCTGTTGTAATCTGACCATTAGGCAAATTAATGTGCACACAAGCAGGTTGAACATTTGTAAGAACAGATAAATCACATATCATGTGGTCAGTTGCACCAGTGTCCAATATCCATGTATTTTTATCAAAGCCAGAATGAGCTAGACAGGATAAGGAGATACCTGATGAAGTACCTGATATGGCAGAGCACACATTGGCAACATTGTTTTGTTGTTCAGTGGGTGGAACAGTGTCCTGCTTGTGCTCATATGAATTTTTAAAAGCTAAGAACTCAACAAAGAGAGGGTCAGTAATGGAATTATCATTTGTGACAGGAGCATGAGAATCAGCCATGGCAGGTTGTGCATTAGCAAAGTGTGCAGAATGCTTTTGATTAGGTTTATTGCCCTTAGAAACATTCCAATGTGCGGGATACCCAACCAATTTGTAACAACGATCACGAGTATGTCCCATGAGACCACAATGAGAACATTTAGGGCGCTGTTTATCTTTGGGGATAGCAGAGTGTTGGTGAGAGGGATTATATGATGTTTTTGCCAACATAGCCAAAGAGTCAACAGGTTTAGGGACAGAATGAAGTGAACGTTGGCTTTCTTCTTGCATTAGGAGTGAATAAACTTTTGACAGGGACGGTAATGGGGTAGAAAGTAGAAAATGACTACGAATGGAGGAATATGACTCATTCAAACCGATAAGAAATTTAATCACAGAGTCAGTTTGTTGAGAAGCAGCCATCAAGTCAAATATATTGCAAGTGCAGGAAGAGAAAGCACCACAAGTACAACGGATTATGGGTCTATATGTCAGAAATTCATCCCAGAGTGATTTAAAGGCATTATAGTACTGAGTTATTGTCATTGAGCCTTGATCCATCGTGCTTAAGGATTTTTCGATTTGAAATACACGAGGACCACTGCTCAATGCGTATCTAGCTTTGATTTCGTCCCAGACGTCTTTTGCAGAAGAGAAAAACAGAAGAGATTGACGAATGTCTTTCGAAATTGAATTCAAGAGCCAAGAAAGAAC